TTTTAATGGGAAAACCATAGGAAAACCATAGGAAAATGTAGATTTTAATGGGAAAACCATAGGAAAACCATAGGAAAATGTAGATTTTAATGGGAAAACCATAGGAAAACCATAGGAAAATTGAGATTTTAATGGGAAAACCATAGGAAAACCATAGGAAAATGGAGGTTTTAATGGGAAAACCCTAGGAAAACCAGAGGAAAATGGAGATTTTAATGGGAAAACAATAGGAAAACCATAGGAAAACCATAGGAAAACCATAGGAAAATGGAGATTTTAATGGGAAAACCATAGGAAAACCATAGGAAAATGGAGGTTTTAATGGGAAAACCCTAGGAAAACCAGAGGAAAATGGAGATTTTAATGGGAAAACAATAGGAAAACCATAGGAAAATGGAGATTTTAATGGGAAAACAATAGGAAAACCATAGGAAAATGGAGATTTTAATGGGAAAACCATAGGAAAACCATAGGAAAATGTAGATTTTAATGGGAAAACCATAGGAAAACCATAGGAAAACCATAGGAAAATGGAGATTCTAATGGGAAAACCCTAGGAAAATGGAGATTCTAATGGGAAAACCATAGGAAAACCATGGTAAAATGGAGATTCTAATGGGAAAACCATAGGAAAACCATAGGAAAATGGAGATTTTAATGGGAAAACCATAGGAAAACCATAGGAAAATGGAGGTTTACCCGGCCTGGTAAACTGTTACATAACCATGGAAAATCACACCATTTTATGTAGCTATAAGTAAATCAACTATAAATCAACTATTTTCGATGGAAAGATCCACCATGTTCCAGTTCGCAAACTGTTTGTTTACCATGGGATTATCCATGGGATTCTCCAATGGATCTCAGCATCGATGTGGATTATGGGGATGGCGCTGGGTGCCCATTTTGATCCCAGAATCCCCAATTTGGCATCGATTCCGCGCTCGTGTCGTGGCGGCTCGTTGATCCATTGGAAATCGACACTGGGAGATTTTCGTCGTTTCACCAGTGGATTCTCCAATGTTTCCACTGAAAAATCTGGTGTGTTCTCCGGAGTTGCCTGTTCCCCTTTTTGAGTTCTACATTTATCTGGCCACATCATGTTTCATCCACGTGAAAGTGCTGGATGCCCCCAATGAGAAAATCCTCCCAGTCGCAGTTTTTGGGGCATAGTCATAGTCTCCTTGCGACGTGTTGTCTCAACGTATGCTGACAAAAAAGGCCTCCCGTTGGGTTTGAGTTCAAATCTGTCGTGTTTACCCAATGCCATGTCGTCTCCGGGACCCCCAAGTCATCACCATTTCGCAAAAAGAATCAACTTCATCCCCATCCCCGGCCCTGCAAGTTGTTCAAATTCCAGGTGTTCCCACGTTATTTAACTATGTATAACTTCATGATATTTCCATGATATCTTCACGATAAAAACCCATGACATCGTAGGTCACATCCATTTCGGTCCTGCCATGTCAAATCCATCCATCGATCCCCGTTGTCAACCACGGAGCCGAGTTGCCGAACGCAGCCGCAACGCGGATTCGATCAAGGCCTGAAATCCGATTCGATCACTGGGCCAATGGGGCTGGAAATGTCATCACAACAACTGTATAGCTTCTGGATAGTTAGATGATTTTTAGATGTAGCCTCTGAGAATAATTACCATGACTTTTTCATTGATTCATGTAATAACAATCAGAAAAACCATCTGGTGATGACCAACAGTTAGCGAACTGGAAAGATCCAGCATGCTATTAAGAACGGTAAACCATGGCTATGTTAAATAGCCGGTAAGTGGAAATTCAAAATACGAGTAGCTGGCAAATCGACAGAACCATGGTGGGGGGGAATCCGGGAGGAACCATCCTAAAACCCAAAAAAATCATCACTCTGTATATGACATAACCATCTTCCAACCCTGATTAAAAAACTCTGTAGACTTGGAAAAACCTCGGAAAAAAAAAAAAAAACTATCAAAAATTGCCGGAAGTTGGGGGGTTGGGGGTTTGATTGCCAATTTTCGTCAAAAAGACAACTCATTTCCGAGACAACATGCCATGGACATCCAGGGCCCACGTCTATCTGATTTTTGACAGGGAAAAGCCAAAACAAGGCGTTTTGTTTAAGTCCTGAATATTGGAAAATCTACCTTGTTTGGCTCTTGTTAGGAGATATCACCCAGAGCTTTGCATTCAAAATCCACCTGTCTTAAAGGGACACCAAAACCCACCTTTTAACGCCAGAATTTTGGGAGACAGATGGAGCCAATGTATGGATGTTGGTGGATTTTCTTCGGATGTCAATATTGCGGAATCCAATGGATTGTCATTTTTTTGTCCCCTAGCTATGCATAGCTGGGAAAATAAAAAAACGTGCAGAAACCGTTTTATAAAAAAAAGTAAACGGTCAATGATTCAACAAAATCACCGAAGATAGCGACGAACAGCGAATCAAGCTGTTGACCATCTATCGACTGGATAAGTTATAATAAGTCAAGACCTGAAACGTCGGGCCATTTTGGAAGAGCTAGCAGGATGGCCCATCATTCCGACGTCGCAGTGCGACAAACATATTGTGGCACTGTGATTCCGATACTACCGGGTAAAACATGGTAAAACAATGTCAAAAACCATCCCCCAGGAAGTCATCACCATGAATTTTATGGGTGGTTACTAACGGTTACTTCCCATTCCCAGAAAAATTGGTGGTAAGTTTATGGCATTGTTTTACCCACATTAATCCATAGAAACTATAGATATATCTTATATATATATATATCTACCATCTACCATTAAAAAAAAACTACATTAATATCTACCATAAACCCTGCAAAAAGTTCTTGGAGTTTGCTAAGTTGACATGGCATTCTACCCACAAAGAACTGGATCTTCCCTGCTCCGTCGAGTCACAGCCAAACGTGTGAAACGGTCCTGCAGAAAGCGGGGTTTGGTCCGTTTTTTGGTGCCTTTTTTTTGGGGGGAAAAACGACAGATTCAACCCGTTATGAGAATTTATAGTCGATATATGTCGAGATCTCTAGGTGAATTCGATACGTCTTTATGGTAGAACGAACTACAAAAACACACGATGTGTTGTTGTACATATTAATTAACCTACTAAACTATCCATGTTGGGGAGATTCATAGTTTGAATGATCATTCTGAACTCTGAACCATTCAAACAATTGGTACAGGAGTCCCAAAAAGATAGAGCGCGAAGCGCATGCTATGTCCCAGTGATTGGGTACCCTAGAAATATGTTTTAAAAAAAATCTCTGTGTTCCCCCTACTTCTTAGCATGTGAAACATTGTGAAAACAATTTGGATCCAATATTAGCGGCTCTATTTGTCTTGTTTCTTGACTACAAATATGATCCAGGAGAGTCATAATTAGTAACAAATTTGGGTGCGGAAATCTCAAATTGAGACCCACACATGGCAAACTGGCAGCTACTGGATTTCTCAGCGACCATGACAAATCCATGGCTAAGTTAGATAGGGAAAAACAAAAAAAGTCACCTGGTGACAAATGGGAAAAAAGAAAAACAACATCCATCAAAACGTACAGAAAAAAAGTTTGTAAAAACCGACCTTTCACTGCAGTAAAGGTTTTACCTGAATTCTCTCCACTTTTTTGGTGAAAAATATTCGTTTTTTTCTGATCAACATTCCCAAGTCTAGTGGTCAACATCTCGGTGTTTCCATTGCTCTACAAGTGCACATCTGCTTCTTGGTACTGCGAACTCAGTTCGCAGATTTCTGAAATATGGAGCAAATGGATTCAAATTTCATGATGCAATGCTGGCCTAAATCAACACGTAATACACGCTGTGTTCCGGTTGGAGTTCCGGCTCCATTGGGTCTGTAAAAAGGGTGCAACATGTCATTTTCCCTTCAAATTGTACATTGAGGTACCTGGAAGCGCAGTTCCAGTTATAGCTGCATATATATATATATACACACAGTATATATATATATATAACTTGATATATCCATCGTTAGAGGTGGATATATATATAATAACTTTAATATAAGCCATGTTTCCCACCATCGTTCAGTAACCTCGCTGGTTCTATCGTTCTATCCCACTCAATCCAGCACGAAAAAAACAAGTTTTACTGGATAAACAAATGCTAATTTCTATGAAAAATTAAAATGAATCATCTTCACAAAGTGAAATTCCAAAGGGCCATGTATTGTGGCTTTGCCCTTTTCGAACATGGTTTGATTCTGCCATATTGCTTGTATATCCCATATTAAAACCATATGGCATAATATTTCACTATGATATATTCCATAATCTTACAATAATATTACAACTATATTATCTGAAAAAATATGTTCTTCGAAAAAAAAAAAAAAAACGAAAAAACATTTGACAAAAACCCCAGATGTTTCTAACCTTCCCAAAAGGACCCAGATGAAGAATGGTGAAGATGGGGATCCCTGGTGTGAAAAAAATTGCTGCTGGATCTACCAGCATTCTCCATTGATTCATATAACAGTCATATACCATCTGGTTATGACTAACATAGCCATGGAAAATCCCAACCATAAATGGAGGTTTGTAGCTGGGAAAATCATCTATAAATGGACCATTTTCCATGGCTATGTTAAATAACCAGAGGGTAATAATCATGAATATTTTCCTATAATACCATGAATAATTACCATGAATATATTTTCATATAACAATAAACAGGATAGATTACCATGAATATGTTCATATAACAATCATATAATACCGCATAAGTATCAATAAATAATTTAATGTGTTCTGTGATGATGTAGGCAATATTATTGTAATTGTCATATGTCATGACTATTATGCAACCATACATCAGCACTGGCTACCACTGGTTGCATCACCATTGAGATCCCATCAAGATCGTTCCTTTGCAGGAAAAATAAACCTGCCAGTAGCCCTTTTTTCCAAGCTTGAAAAATGTGCCTCCAATTTTTAGAAACAGCAGATTCCCAGCATTCTGGGAATCAAAAAAACACCATTATGGACCTATAGCCTCAGGTTTTAACATGGTTAAACCACCATGTTTCGCGCGAAATTTCCGAAGCAGAACTTTGGCGCTGGTTGGTGGTTTCAACCTACTCCTCTGAAAAATATGAGTTGGTCAGTTGGGCTTATTCCCAAATATTCCCAATCTATGGAAAGTCAATCCATCCATTCATCTGGGTAAATTAGAATATTTCACTAACCTGAATTAAGTCCATTTGGGGATGATTTCCTTTATTAACCATGATTCCAGTGAGGTCGCAGTGAGGTCGTTATAATTTATCCAGATTCATGTTCCAGTCACCACCGACCGGCCTTCTTTTCGACGAAGCTCTCTCGCAGCGCCATCTCCAATACGCGGAATTCGAAAGGCGTCTTTGCACCTGGGAATCTGTGGGCGCAGCGAAGATTCAGAAAGGTAACATGAAGGAGAAGTTGGAGAAATGGAACATGTGGTACCCCTAAAAATTCCAATGGTTTATCATATATTTATCATACACTTCCCCCTGAAAACTCTAATTTTTTGGGATATCCCCAATTCCATACACACCTCATCCACCACAGGTCGAGACACCCGAGCATTCGGGATTGAAACTAGGAATATTCGTGTAGAAGCCTCCAAGAATACCAAATCACAAACCCCAACACCCAAGCAATATGGCTATGAGTCAAAACCCTAATGGATGTTCATCCCATTAAAAATTGTATCTATAGGTATTGACCCATACCCATATCACCATGTGTTTTTCAGATTTACGAATTCAGAAAAGACAAACAGCTCCTACATGTCCATTCTCCTTTTGACAACTGGAATCAACAAAAAAACAGCTCAACCGGTCGAGATGTTTCAACATTTTCAACAGCTTGATGTTTGCTAGTATCACCAGGTCAACCAAAACAAAACATTCTCATTATCCGTGAGACTGGTAGTGAAACCCTTTCTGTAATAATCCATGGTAAAAGTCTAATTTATGGTCACCGGCAGAATTATGGAAAAAAAAAGTCTAACTTAGACCGGAGCTCGCCTGTCTCCGTTTTTTCCATAATTAGGGTCTTCCCCTAATTAGGGCCCAAAAATGTTCAAAATATCCTGGATGTGATCTTAACCTTTTTTTTTCCATAATTTTTGGAGCCCGAAATGTTCATGGTTTTTTCCTGCGTAATCTAAATATACAGGATCGACATTTCAAACCCACAGGATGGGGCCCCCCGTGATGGTTGTTGGTTTATAACCCCATCTAAATATATGTAGTTATTTGCGTATCATACACTATTGTTATTATAGTTATGTTCACCAACTTAGCTAACGAACTCGGGCCCCATCCTGCAGGATGTTAGGAGTTTTCCAAATACGCGAATGCAAGTACATCAACCAAATTGCTGGCCTTGGAACTGACGAAAGTCAATGCTAAACACAATGAAACTGATTGAAAACATGATGAAAACCTATGGCAAAATGCTGAAATAGCTTGGACAATAGCTTAAAACCAAGGGCAAAAGGCTGACATAGGCTAGAAAAATGCTGGGGATATACCGGATATGTTATTTTTCGACACATTCATATGTTCCATAATTCAACATTCCCCCTTGAAATGCATTCGAACTGCGAATCGATGGACGTTCCAGCCGACAGAATTATGGAAAAAAATAATTATAGGAAAAAACAGGTCTAGAATTTTCCTGTGATAGACACGAGCTCACCTGTCAATTGTAACCTTTTTTCCATAATTCTGTCGGTGACTGTAATCCCATTAAAATCCCTGGAGAAAACAATTAAACCAATAAACCCCCAAGCTATTTCTATAGACTTCTTCATTAAACATCATTAAACCATTACCATCTGGTTAGTTAACATAGCTATAAATGGGAATATCATCTATTTTCTGGGCCATCTATACCATGGCTATGTCAGTCATAACCATTTTGGGTATATTATAAACTCCCGTTAGGTTAAATGCTTGAAATTCTAACAGTTAAACCCTCGTTCTGAACAATCAATCAATCACTTCGCCAACTCCAACATCTGCCGCCTTTTGGAGATGCCAGTTCTCTTTGCAGGCACCTCGAAAAGCCGAGAAAAGGTGACCCAGGTGGCTACGTTTTTCGAGTCCAGGTAAATGGCCGTCATGTCGACATGTCAAACAAAAAATTCACCGTGCGAATTGGCGATCTGATACCTCTGTAATTGAAATAACAGGTTGCTGTGGATTTTTTAAAAAACCATTGATGAAAGCAACAGGTACCCTCTGGAAAACTACCATAACTATGGAAAATCACAATGTTTAATGGGTAAATCTACTATAAATGGTTATTTTCAATAGCTTTTTGTATGTTTACCAGGTGGTAAATCATGTAAAAATCATCTATAAATGGGCTAAAATTTCCATAGCTATGTGAAACCAATTTGGGTACCGATTGAATCAGCTGGGAAAAAAACATGACCAACCAGTAACGGAGTATACCCTCTGGTAAACATACAAAAAGCTAATTGAAAATGGCCATAGAAATAGTGAGTTTTCCCATTAAAAATGGTGGATCTTTCCATAGTTATGTAACAGTTTACCAGAGGGTAATAAGAATGCGAGCGAAACCACCAACCAAATCTTAGCCAGAATATCCCAAAACGATATCCCATGGCCTACCGCAATGAATTTCATGGCCAAAGCGTATGTTTTTCATACGCTTGTCCCATGAACAATCATCCATGAATAATATTGTTGCGGGGTTACCCTCTGGTAATTTAACATAGCTATTGAAAATGGCCATTTATAGTGGATTTTCCCATTAAAAATGGTGATTTTCCATAGCTATGTTAAATTACCAGAGGGTAAATCCATGGATAGTCCCATTATTTACTTATGAAATATACGGGTTACCAATTTCTACCTTGGATGCACATCAATTTCCAAGTAGTAAACTACCACTATACTTGGTTCTTTATGGTTCTTTGGGGTTGTATCATCATTTTACCAATTGAAAAATGGTCATTTTTTCTGGAAGGAATCATAATCCAAAGCCAACTCATCAAACACCTGAGGAGTGGCGAATACATGCGAATACCATATCCCGCGAAAAATCCTTGTTGATGCTTTAACCGTTACCATAGTTCTTCGCCATTTTTCGCCCATCACCTCCCTTCAGATTCCCATTATGAGCCGATGGGGCCATGTGATTGGCAGTTCCTGGGCCATGTAACTGGTTCACTCTCACTTTTCTTCATCCATTCCTTCCCACAGTTCATGGGATATCCCATCGGCTTATGGCGAACACTTTGCCATGGAAAATAGATGATGGAAATAGATGGTGACTACCGTTCTTAATAGCATGGTGGATCTTTCCATGGCTATGTTAAATAACCAGAGGGTATATAAGTTATATCATGTTATGTCATAATTGTCATAATTCCCTTCGTTCTTATTGTCCATTCATATTCCAACTATGACTATATCCCCATTATTGTCATGGTTATCCCATTAGTTCATGCTTGGAAAGGTCATGGTTGGGTCATGACTAGACTATATCCCATTGTTCGTATCATTATTGTCCAAGTGTGACTATATCCACTAGTTAGTTAATGGTTGGAAAAGTCATATCCATTCTATCCCCATGATATTCCCATTCTTATCCATCCCTAGTCATAGTTGGAAGTAATTATGACCTATCTGAAAATTACTCACATAACATCACCAATTATAACTATTATTGAACATATTCCAATATTTGCCCATAAAATTCAGAGAACTTTTCCCCCAATCCACCCATGACCCAAAAAATCTTCTGCTGGTCATCCCACATCCCATGCCGGGCGCCCTACCCCCGGGAGCATCCGCCTGCTGAAGAGCTCGGCCGCACGGCCGCTGCCTTCGTTCAGAATCATCACCGAGTCGCTCCAGACGCAGCCTGAACGAAAACAGCACGACGACACGGCGACACTTTTTGAGCTGGCTACCTGGGATTCCTATGGATTCAATATGATTCAATGAGTCGTGAATCGTGATGAGGGTTTGAAATGTTTTAACTATTCCATAAATCTGGGTAAATTATAATATTTCACTATTCGCAGTGAGGTCGTTATAATTTACCCAGATAAATGATAAAAATCATGGTTTTGCTGAAGGTCTGAAGGGATTGTCCATGGGATGATGCTTCATGGCATTCATGGTGAATCCCGATGAAGGTTGGTTCATATTCGTTTAGCATCAACACATGTTGCATCAACACTAAGCCAAGAAAGATTGTGAAAATGCTACTAGCTATAGATCATGAAAATTTCCATATTTTTTTTGCGAGTCTGCTGGTGAATTTAACTGCGGATATGAACTTCATGAACTGATAAGTTTGATGGTTTTTGATGGTTGATGAGTTTGGGGGATGATACTACCCAATCATGGTATTTTTTCGATGATCATGTCATACTCCACGCTGGGAATCCCGTTCGAAAAAACATTTCGGCAGTTAACGTGTCAAGGGACGACATGAAACGGGCGGCTTCTAAGAACACTGCAAAGATATGGTGTTCTTATGTGGGTATAACCATCAAATAGAAAAAAAACAAACAAGAAGGGATCTAGAACAGGTATGAACAGGTGATAATAGTAACAATATATATGGTTCTTAGCATCAGACTTTCTGGTTTTAAAAAATGGTGAAAATGATCTTGTTTGTTGATCTCGTGCAGCCGCCCTGGTTTGAAAAAAGGTAGCTAACTGCACTTTCTGAAACGTGGAAAAAATATCTGTATATATGGTGATTAGCTTATTATACCAATACATTTATGCAAAAACCATGGTGATTGAACCAATAAGAAGATCTATAAAAATATTAGCTGAAAAAATCTATCGGTATATATGGAAAAAAAATATTCACCAAAGAATTTGGATTTTTCACCAGAAGATCTAACTGGCGATTTTGAAAAGCAACCATGGTGATTTGAGCAAGAAAAATTGGTGCCTTTCAGTGATGTTTGCTTTAACAAAGCCCAGTAACTAGTTCGATGATTACCATCTGGTTATGACTAACAGTTTGCCATGGAAAATCACCATTTTTTATAGGTAAACCATCTATTTCTATGGGCCATCTATACCATGGCTATGTTAAATTACCAGAGAGTGAGTACCAGAAACCCGTCGTTCCTTAAGAAATTCGAATTCCTGGTGCCTTTCAGGCGCAACGTATGTTTTATGGATTTCATGGGGAAAACTGTTGGAACACCGTGCGCGCCCGTATTGTAAATGATTGAACATGGTATATACAAACGTACGTCATGTATTGAGGGGGGTTGGAATTTCTCACCAGAACTCCTGAGGAAAAACATGATCCTCTGGAAATCTTTCACGGCGGGGCCATGGAGCTGATGACGAGGCTATGACACCGTATTGTGGCTGCGGTAGATCTCGGTAGATCCTGGTTTCATCACCGGAAAAACCTGCGCTCGCGCTCCAGGCCTGTGAATGGCGGCAAGCGGAACATGAAGTAGTCCTAGAGCAGTGAATGCGCTCGGCAGAGTCAGGAGTCTGCTGGCTACGCCGCTACGCGACACATTTTAAGAACCGCAACTGACAACACGGGAATATCATCAGTGAGGATATCAGATGGTACTGTTCAGTGGGAATTATCAGTGAGTTTACTTCAACACTACAAATTATGCTGGTTGGTGGTATACCTACCCCTCTGAAAAATGATGGAGTGAAAGTCAATGGGAAGGATGACATCCCTTTTTTAGTATGGAAAATAATCCATTCATGTTTGAAACCACCAAGCAGTATGTGTACTTCAATATGTGAGTCTGTTCAATGCTCTTCGAGATGAGCCCACCAAAACCGCAACCCCTTTTCTGTTTTGAACCATCTCAGTTGAGGGAGTATCGACAGACAAAGCCATATGAACACTGGTGTTCCCAAACATAATAAACCATAGGGTAAATCATAGGATAACATATAGGTATAAAGCCATAATTATAGTATAAACCATTCACTGATGGACCAAAGTGAGTTCCCTTCTAGATCTTGATGGATCTTCGTGTTTCTATTGTTTTCTGAGCTAGACCCCTGTACCAGAGGGTAGGTTTTGCTGGTCTCAAAGTTTTTTCGTTTTTTTACTTCAAACCCAATTTAAGTTCTTGGTTAGTAGGTCGATGCCCCCATAATGTCTCATCATTTTGACCTATAGCTGTGTGTGTGTTTTTGTATAGTTGAGCCATGGAAAATACCATCCCATTTCATTCTACTGGTTGGTGGCCCCGCCGTTTGTTGCTTTGGTTACCTCTGGTAAACGGTTACAATTGACTGGAAAGATCCACCACTTTTCGGTAAATATGTTGTACACATGGTCATTCTCAATAGCAAACACTTAGTTTACCAGAGGCTAGTTATACTAGTTGTGTTCACCAACTTAGCTAACGAACTGGGACCACCTTCAAGAAAAGCAGCCGACCATGTCCATTCTTTGTTTGTCTGAAAGTTTAGTCCAAAATCGACTAATTGGCATCTTCCATCTTCAAAGTGGCACTTGGAGGTGAAAAAAATCATGGTACCCTCTGGTAAACGTTCACAAAAAGCGTTTACCAGAAAGATCCACCACTTTGTAGCTGGGTAAATCAACTATTTCACCATGGCCATGGCTTCAATAGCAGAGGGTATATCGCTCGGGGTATATCATTGTGGCTATCCCGTTGTATCCCATGGGAGAGTTGTGTCGTTGGCATGTTCCCATGGAAAAAACTGTTGGCATGTTTTTTTCAACCGGCATAAACTGCTATGACATGGAAAAGTATAACATTGTTATAACAACCATATATGGTAAATTAGCCATTGATGGTTTTGCATGTTTCATATCCATATTGAACCGGCAGTTTTTAACCATAATACTTGAAAACATGGTATTTTCTATATGAATTTTATTCCAGACGTATTAATTCAAGACGAAGTGTCGACTCTAATGATGCATATCCAGTAACCAATTCCATTGATTCTGGGTAAATTATAATAATTCACTAACCTGAATAGTTCGGCCATTTGGGGATGATTCCCCTTATTAACCATGATTTCCAGTGAGGTCACAGGGTTCGGTCGTTATAATTTACCCAGATTGATTCCCCATTTTAAGTATACCCTCTGGTAAACAGCCACATAACTATGGAAAGATCCACCATTTTTCATGGGAAAATCCACTATTTCGACTGGGTCATTTTCCAGTTCGCAAACTGTTGACATAACCAGGTTGGGTACCCTCCGGAGTAGCATCCCCGAAGCCATGGAGGGTGAGAAAGCCATACGAACCAGCCAAGCCAAGCGGTGGATCTTCAAGCCGTGGCAATTTCCCCAAGGGATAAAATGAATATTACTAGAAGGATGGATTTATAAGAATATGGTAACATAATAATATTAATATGAATATAACATAACAATATATTAATATTACTATTTACTATGGATTTAAATTAAATAATATGGTAACTAATAGCTATAATAATATTTGACAATCTTGGACATGACATAATATCCCATTACTTTCCCATTATTTTCCCATTATTTTCCCATTATTTTCCCATTATTTTCCCATTATTCTCATACCAGTAATATGAATAAGATATATTGCTATGGAATATTGATATATAGCTATATTAGATGTTCAACTATGTTGCTATTTATTCAAGCATATGGAGGTTTCCGCAGGTTTCCTGAAATGGGGGGGGTACCTCCATTTTCGGAAACCCCCATATGGCAGTGTGTCAAAAGCTTGTACCCCTGGTGAACCTCAAAATAGCTCGTAAATGGATGTTCATCCCCCTAAAAATGGTATTAATAGGTATTGACCCATAGCCATATAATTCTTCCTACTAATGGAATATGATGTGTACCCTCTGGTAAACTAACATAACTATGGAAAGATCCACCATGATTAATGGGAAAATCCACTATTTCGACTGGGTCATTTTCAATAGCAAACTGTTGACATAACCAGAGGGTAAAGCTCCATTTTCCTATGGTTTTCCTATGGTTTTCCCATTAAAACCTCCATTTTCCTATGGTTTTCCAGAGGGTATCTGGCACAATTTTTTCGCTGATGCCAGGCTGCAGGTCGAATGGACAGATGTGCCCCTTTCGTACCTGAAAAGGGCCAAGCCGAAGCCAAGCCGAGGCCCGGTTCCGTGGTTTATTGGAGGCTTTCGTGGGAAAACCATAGGAAAACCATAGGAAAATGGAGCTTTACCCTCTGGTGATGTCAACAGTTTGCTATTGGAAATGACCATTTATAGTGGATTTTCCCATTAAAAATGGTGATTTTCCATAGTTATGTGAGTTTACCAGAGGGTATTGTTTATAGTATAAAGCATAGTATACCCGTACTAATCTCCCAATCCCATGACTATCCCGTTCATTGCCGTTCATACCTTATCCATCCTTATCCCTATGAAAAATCAACGTTTCGAACGAAAGAGTTTCAGAAACGTTTCGGAAACCAGTTGGGAATCTGTGAAAATGAGGCGACCCGCCCAACTCGGTTACCACCAGTTGGTAGAAACCCCAGCCGATGAGCCATCGAGTCCCAATGGGCTGGGAAAAATTCAAGTCCCAAATCAAGTCCTGTTGGTTTCTGGGAGAGTCATCGAACTGATGAATTTTCCATTCATGTTTGCGTACACCGTTTTCGGTACCTTTTGGAGTGGTTCTTTATGTCATGTCTTTCTTAAGCAGATTACACAAGCAGCACATTTCACCTCAACGGGATTCCATATCACGTAGGTTTTTAGAATCACGAGCGTACGATATCCCCATGTGGCCCATGCCTTTGGAAAAAAAAACACTGAAGATGGTTGTCTTGTTTACCGCCCACTTACCCTCTGGTAAACTAACATAGCCATAGCTATTGAAAATGGCAATTTATAGTGAGTTGTCCCATTAAAAATGGTGATTTTCCATAGCTATGTTAGTTTACCAGAGGGTATCCCTGTAAAATTGATTAATGTCATTATCATCCCGTGAAATATCCCATCAATGTCTCATTTGAGCAGTGTTCAAAACCCGAAATGTCGTCCCTTTCTACTGCCTTCTGAAAATAGGGATCCCCATGATGTATTGTGATCATCCCCAATATATTGGATAGTGTACCCTCTGGTAATTTAACATAACTATTGAAAATGAACCATTTATAGTGGATTTTCCCATGAAAAATGGTGATTTTCCATAGCTATGTTAGTTTACCAGAGGGTAACCAAAACAAACTCAACCAGCAGGGCTGTTTTTCACACTGCAGTATCTCTAAGACCTTGATAAGTGGTTCCTCCTCCCCAGAAATTGTTGCTACTCATTCCCTGCATCCCCAAAATGGTGGATCTTCCCATCGTTTCCCCACTAAAAACCACTAAAAATGGTGGATCTTCCCATAGTTTCCCCATCAAAAACCACTAAACATGGGTAAATTATAGTAATTCACTCACCTGAATTAATTTAAGGCCATTTTAAGGGATGATTCCCCGCAATCTAACTATGATTATAGTGAGGGAGAACAGGGCTCGGTCGTTATAATTGACCCAGAAGTATCTAATGAATCTAATGTCATCTCAAAAACCACCAAAGAGATAGACGTCGAATCCCAGAATTTCTTCCTATCATTTCTTTCCCATCGATCACATCCCAAACGCTAACGCGGAGGTTGGATCCGACAAAGTTTGAGCTGGTGAGCTTCGTTGGTCTGTTAAACGTCCAGGAATGATATGATTTCAATAGGAATTGCTGAAAAATATGTTGGACAAGTTGTAGAATCCATCAATATCCACTCAAAAACGATGAAAAAACACCATTCAAAGTCGATGAATCCCATGAATATACCATGCTTATTCCATTGGTATCCAGTTATCATCCCTATTTTCAACCATATCTTGAAACCATACCCTCTGGTAAATTAACAGTTCGACCCTGAAAATAGCTTAGTTTTAATGGAAACTAATCTTCCAACCCCGATGACTGCCAGGGTCTATGTTAATTTACCAGAGGGTATCTTGAAACCATACATTTTGCTGAAACGACCCTCAGACAACGCTTAAAAGACGGGGTGCCAAAGAGTCGCACATCTCGTGCAGTGAGGCCGAAGAGGAGCATGAGCTCCTTGGAAGTTCCTGATAAACGGTTCCAAAATGGTAAATGGTTGATGAATGGTTGATACCCCCTGGTAAATTAACAGTTCGACCCTGAAAATCACCAATTTTTAGTGGAAACTAATCTTTCAATGCCTATCTGGCAGGGTCTATGTTAATTTACTGGAGGGTAAATGGTTGATTGTAAGGTTGACATGATTCAAATTCTGATGTTGATATCCAACCAAATGACCAAATGGTGATAGTTCATCAGTTCATCAATACGGCTAAATTTTGATACAGTAATTAAATAGTTAAATATCAGCATCCGGATTAGTATACCATTCATGTGGTTGAATAATGTTAAACAATTTCCCATTGATTTTTTGGATACTCATATGGTTGAATATCAGCATCGCCAAATATACCACTAGTGTGGTTGAATAGGGATACTAATGGAATATGTATGGGGTATTAATGGGATTCCAAGTGGATAATAACGGGATAATAGTGGAAACATTAATAGGATGACAATGGGATACTAATGTAACAAATGGCAAGAAAACTAACAAATGGATACAAATGGACGATAACAGGATATTAATGGTGATATATTAATGAGACATATCAATGGGATATATTAGTGGGATTCATAAATTCATTGGGATACAAATCCATTGGCACTCATCATTCCCAAATGGGAAGTACACCGCATATTCATGGGACACTAATTATTTGAGGAAAAATTGCAGTCTAGCTTTATATGGTTTACAAGGATCATAAGATATGGGATATCAATGGTATATATTGGTGAATATACTGTCAGGTAATCGAACATAGTAATAGAAAATCCACCATTGAGTTCAATGGTTTTTCCACCTAGAAACCTCTATGTATTGGGATGTTCCTTCCACGTTTGATTACCGGAGGATAGAATGTTTTTTTTGTGGTTTTCTCTGTGCTGGGGTTAAGTTACGTGGTATATGGTTCACCGATTACGGTTGGAAAAGAAAAACTAGTCCCATGAATAGCCCATTGAATCACGAGAAGAATCAACTGACAATGGCACAGGTGGCACATGTTGTTTCTGTTCAGCTAAATTCCAGGAAAACCGCAGCTTATGATGAAACTCTCATGAAATTGTCATGGTGTTTTTTCTGGTTGGTGGTATACCTACCCCTCTGAAAAATATGAAAGTCAGTTGGGATGATTATTCCCAGTATATGGAAAAAACATGTTCCAAACCACCAACCAGTATAATATCATATGACTATTAGAGGATATTAGAGGTATACTATCCAATGTATATGGAAAAATAATCCAGATGTTCCCAAACCACCAACCAGTTTTGGTTTTGCCAACGTTTTGGCGCGAAAAAAGGGAGACGTGATCCGGAGAGAGATCTGCAGAGTTGGTGTCGACCCGCGAAACCCGACACCCGAACCCCAAAACCCGAAACCGACTATTAAAGTTGGTTTCAAACTATGAAACCCGAAACCCAAAATCTACCTAATCTATCTATTCTAACCTATAATCTAATCTATCTAATCTAATATGATCTGATCTAATCTAATCTAACTATCTAATCTAATCTAATCTAATCTGATCTGATCTAATCTAATCTAACTATCTAATCTAATCTAATATGATCTGATCTAATCTAATCTAACTATCTAATCTAATCTAATCTTATCTAATCTAATCTAATCTAACCTAATCTAACCTATCTAATCTAATCTAATCTGATCTAATTTATTCTGTCTAATCTAATCCAATCTACCTAATCTAATCTTATCTAACTATCTAATCTAATCTAATCTGATCTGATCTAATCTAATCTAACTATCTAATCTAATCTAATCTAATATAATCTAATATAATCTTATCTATTTCATTTTGTTTCTAATCTAATTAATCTAATCTAATCTAATCTACCTAATCTAATCTAATCTAATCTACCTAATCTAATCTAACCTAATCTACCTAATCTATTTCTAATCTAATCTACCTAATCTAATCTAATCTACCTAAATTAATCTAATCTAATCTAATCTATCTAGTCGAATCTGACCTAATCTACCTAATCTAATCTGATTCTAATCTAATCTTATCTAAGCAAATCTAATCTAATCTAATCAAATCTAAATCTAGTCTATCTAATATAATCCAATTTGTCTATCTAATCTCTCTAATCTAATCTAATCTATTCTAATCTGTCTATCTGATCTATCTAATCTAATCTAATCTGATCTAATCTAATCTAATCTAATCTACCTCATCTAATCTATCAATTAAATCTAATCTATCTAATCTAATGTAATCTAATTCTAATCTAATCTAGTCTATCTAATCTAATCTAATCTAATCTAACCTACCTAATCTAATCTAATCTAACCTAATCTACCTAATCTAATCCAATTCTAATCTAATCTAATCTAATCTATCTAATCTACAATATTTTTCTCATCTAATCTATCTAATCTACCTAAACTAATCTAATTCTAATCTAGTTAAACCTATCTAATCTTATCTAATCTACCTAATCGAAACTAATTCTAATCTAATCTGACCTATTATAAACCAATCTAATCTACCTAACCTAATCTAATCTAATCTAACCTAATCTACCTAATCTACCTAATCTAATCCAATTCTAATCTAATCTAATCTACCTAATCTAATCTATTCTAATCTAATCTACCTAATCTAATCTAATTCTAATCTAGTCTAATCTAATCTAATCTACCTAATCTAATCTAATTCTAGTCTCAATATTCTAATCTAATCTAATCGAGTCTATCTAATCTAATCTAGTCTACACTCAACTAATCTATCCAATCTAATCTAATCTACCTCATCAAATCTGATTCTAATCGTAATTCTAATCAAATCCAACCTTATCTAAATAATCTAATCTAATCTAGTCTAACCTTATCTAAACTAAA